GGCACAACAGATTACGAACTTGATCTTCCGTTTCGTTTTTAGCCTCACCATACTAGCAGCTATAATGCTGCTTCACACTCAATCAGTCTTGACACGAACAGATACACTCAAAGCAGCCTGCCCCCTAAAATCTAAATTATGGGAATGGAGCAGCAAAGCAACGTACTGCTTGACATTGAACAGGGCCATTCAAAATGTATACCATGGTCTCGAATCCGAAACAATTCTCTCCTTATGCCAAGGACACAAAATGCCACAAAGGCCATAAAGAAACTGTGCTGGAGTCTTTGGTGCAGTGCTTTAGGCGCTTCACCGACGCACGCACAAAACACGAGTTTGATTCTTGTGGGAATAATTGTAATCGAGTATCTCGGTCTTTCTTCTTGGAATTTATTTCCCTCTTTTAGTCCAGGTTGGTCCTGATCGACGTTGTGTGACTTGGGGTCCAGATATACCTGCAGTAAAAAACAAACAAAAAACACAACCTCCCCCAACCCCCCCCCTCACCAAAAATAAATAAAAATGCTGCTATATGCTGTCAGAATTGTTCAACACGACCACCCATTGTCGAGGAGAAAATTTATTATCTTAGAAAGATGGACGTCTTAGAAAGTATCATTAAAAAAAAAAAACGCATGGAGGAAGAAGAAAGTGATCGTTCGTACTAGTGATTATCCTTGCCGGGTGGTGGCTAGAGCAGATTTAACCGCTTTTGTTGACATTTTGTTGACAGTAGCTTCTCTCAGCTTAGAAACAGAGACTAAAACAAACATCAGCACCTCCAGAGCATTAATGAGACCAGAACGTGACACTCGACTGTGCCCCTCGCTAACACTAACACAAACGTCCCTGACATTTCCCCACGTCACGACAGTAAACTGACTGGAGTCAGGGGAAATGTAATCTCAGTTTGTCTATTTGGCTGTGAAGGTGGCACTATTGTGGCACAACCCTTTCGTCGGTGTCGCAGGCATTCCATTTACTAAGTTCGCCGGAGTTCTTTTAGTACCAGAGCCACCACCCCCCCCCCAAAAAAAAAACCCAACTAAAAAACCCCAACCAACAACAACAACAAAAACAACAAAAAACAAAACAACAAATAAACAACAGCAACAGACAATCAGCTTTTGTTGTGTTATTTCTATTAGGAATCATGAAAAGAAAGAAAATCATAAACCTTGACCATAGCACAACATTGCATTTTGGTGATGTCGTAAGGTGGATCTTTGATAGAGCTTAGGGATGATGTGAAAATTGAAAATGCTCAAAATTTAGACTTAAGTAGATTCCTAGCTGCAGCGACGACTTTCTCATCATGGGTTTGCCACATCACGAATAGCCAACAGGTTCTTTAATTGTTCGAAATTCTTCGTCGTTAAGCAGTCACGCGCGTCGCTTCTGCACGGCTGTATTTTACCTCATGCTATACTGTCTGTCCTCAGGGTTCTTTCTTTATCTTGTGAAATGTCTAATTTTTGTGATTTTTTGTTAGCCCGTCATACGTGTCTGTCTACCTATCTGTCTATCTGTCTGTCTGCTTTTTTGCCAGTCTTTCTGTCAGTTTGTTTATCTATATACTTGTCTGTCTGTAAGAGAGTAATTTAGAGACACTGCCGTTAGAACATTTTAGGTATAAAGACAGGAGCATGAAATACTAGTAAGATTCGTCCTGCTGTTTGTTTGCACATGAATAGCGGTCATTGTATTTACACGTGATATCACAGATCTATTCAAAGAGAAGCACGCCATTGCTAGAAAACAAAATACAATTACCCAAATCTGCACCACCGATACAACAAATTAATGATGGTCAGGGCCACTCCCAAAACCGCACTTCACTTCACACTATCAGATAAAAGTCACCGCAAACGAACGGACACCATATAGGTCTTTCAGTGTTTGCCAACCTTTTTATAGCCACTGCCCATTATTGCCCCCTCTAAGAAGAGGCAAACATATTTGTACCGCTGACCTACATCGTTACTTTAGAATGACAAAGTTCTGATATTTTTAGAGCTGTTTTGAATTACTATGATTATAAGGTCAGAAAGCAAGTGAAATATCATTGCCGCTCTTTTAAGATTATTTGGAGACGTTATCAAGATATTTTAAAAAATGCATTCGAACAAGCTTGACATGCTGTTAAACCCAAAAATTTTAACGTAAAATATTTCAAAACTAGATACTGAGCAGATAGACCTTTGTAATTCTAAGGGTAGCGACGAGCATAATTTGTAAGCGGGGCATGAAATAGTACCTGTAACTAACAAACCAAGTAATCCCCACCTGCTCACAAAAAATTACCAGGTTTGCAAGCACCGGTTTAGATGTAGGTCCCAAGCGCTGATCTTTCTTTCTTTCTTTTCTTTAACTTGGGATACAGCAGAAGGGGAAGCCTAAGCGAGAAATGTCAAAGGTGGATTAATTTCTCTAACGAGTTGTTTATTAGACGTTTCTCTGTCTCTTCCTTCCCCGTGAGCCCGCCCGTCTGTGAGGGAGCTTCCC